TCGCATTCCTTGGCTTGTAGCTGTATCACTGCAATCTTGCCTCCATTGTCACATGGCCTTCTTTCCCATGTGTTTCTGTGTCTGAATCTTCCTCTCCTTTCTCTTAATAAAGATTCCAGTCATTGGATTTAGGGTGCACCCTAATCCATTATGATCTCATCTTAACTAATTACCTCTGCAAGGACCCTATTTCCAAATAAGGTCACATTCTGAGGTATACATAAATTTGGGGGTGAGGGCTCTGTTTGACCCAGTACAGGAAGCGTTGCTCATTTCTTCTGCTGTTAGAAGTAAATGTACTTGGGATCACACAGCTTTGTAGTTAAGCTGCTTGAAGAACTGTGTAGATTTCCCCCTCCCTTTAAATTAGAAGCAAATCAGTCTAGAAATGTTTCTTTAAACCTTCATTCACAGGGACACATTTTTTTTTTTTTTCCTTTTTGCGGTACGCGGGCCTCTCACTGTTGTGGCCTCTCCCGTTGCAGAGCACAGGCTCCGGACGTGCAGGCTCAGCGGCCATGGCTCATGGGCCTAGCCGCTCTGCGGCATGTGGGATCTTCCCGGACCAGGGCATGAACCCGTGTCCCCTGCATCGGCGGCGGACTCTCAACCACTGCGCCACCAGGGAAGCCCCACAGGGACACATTTGATGAGCCTGTTATTCCAGAGGGCAACTGCTCTCTTCTTGGGCTTCTCTAGCTCTGTCTCAGACTGGCTACTGTCTGCAGAGGTATTCCAGAGGGTCCTGCCGTCCATCAGAGTTTGGATCCAAGTTTTTGATATTTCTTATATAAGTGGCTCAAACCCATGAGGAGATATACCTCACTGAATTCTATTTGAGTTTCAATCCTGAAGACTTTATGAATGGTCAACGTGGGGCCCTCCATGATTCATAGATTCTTCTCTTGATGGAGTAGAACTTCCTTATAATGGATTGCTAGGAAATAATCAGGAGCATTTTAAAGCACCTAATGTGTGCAGAGTTCTTTACATAGTACTGGGGTTGGAGGAAAAGAAATGGAAGACACCTCTTATTCTAGAGGTACTTTCAAAATAAATTGAAGGGAATACACACATACAAAAAACTAAACATATTTCTAAGGAGGGGCCCAAAGTCGATGTGGTTAAATGCCATGAGGAGAGGGCAGGAACTGTATGCTTTAGAGATTCAAAGGAACAATCACTTCCAGCCGGGGTTTGGAGCAGGGTTAAGTTTGGGGAAGGAGGCTGCCTTTGATCTGGGTTCTTGCAGGGTGGATCGGATTTTGATTGGTGAAGTCGGAAGGGAGGCTGATCCAGGTGGAGGAAGAAGGTCGAGCGGAGGAGGAATCGCGTGGGGAGCTAAATGTTCAGGAAACGTTTCAGAGTAGCTGGAGCATGGAGTAGATTGATAGAGGGTGAGACTAAAGGCAGGGCGGAGCAGGAGTGTGGAAATGAATGCCACGCCAAAGAATTTAGACTTGCTTGGCAGAAATTGAAGTATGTGAGCTTTGCTTAACAGGAGGCTAGCAGATGAGCATTGCAAATCAAGGAAGAGATTCTAGTTTGTTTAGTGTGAGAGGTGATTAGGATCTGACTTTAGGATATTAGCAGTGATAACAGGAAGGCAGGGGAAAAAGAGTATTGCTACGTTGTAGATAGAAGCAATAGTACTTTCGTTTACTGAGTGGATATGGGGACAGAGAAGAGAGTCACTGGTCATTATTTACCGCACCACCCTCCCTTTTATTTTGAAAAATGTTAAAGCTACAGGAGAGTTGCAAGGCTATCGTACCAAGTACTCACACACCAGAAGTGTATGTGCAGGTTTGGGATAGGTTGATCTCAAGAAACTGGTATGAGAGCCGTCGTGTGGAAATGTCTTTTTCGATTATTGGAGATGCTGTAGCTGGTCTACGAATATCCCCCGTCCCAGTAGATGGGAACACCATCCCTCCTGCTACACAACCCAGAGAGAAACTTTGGTTTCTCTCATATCCATATCCGTCAGCCAGTAATCCTGTCCATGCGACTGTCAATGTTTCTTTCCAGAATCCAAGTGCTTCTTACTACCTCCTCTGCCACCGTCTTGGTTCAGGTCGCCATCATTTCTCCCCTGGATTATCACAGCAGCCTGGTTGGTTGTCCTGCCTCTGCAGTTACCTCCCTCCAGCCTCTACCCAGCATGGCAGCCAGTGTGATCCTGGTAAAGTGTCAGCTCTTGTCTTCCTCTGGTCAGAACCCTCCAGCGGCTCCCCATCTCACTCTGAAATAAACCTCTTACAGACCTGTAGCCTACCGGGTCCTGTGTTCTCTGATCCCCCTTCTATGTCTCTGATCTCAGTTCTTACTCCTCTCCCCCTTGCTCATTCTGCTCCAGTCACACTTGCCTCTTTGAACACCCAGGGTCTCGCACTTGCTATTTCTTCTATGTGTAATGCTCTTTCCCACATATCCTTATCTCCTTCAAGTCTTGGCTTAAATGTCATTTTCTTAGTCCTCCTTTGACTGTGATATTTAGAATTGCAACCCTTTTGCCCACTGCCCCCTGGCACTCTAATCCTTATTCCTTGCTTTTTTCCTCTATAACACTTTTATGACCTTTTAACAGTATGTAATTGACATAGTTTACTATCCATCTCCCTTAGTAAAATGAAAGGTCTTTGAGGATTTTTGTGTTTTGCTTACTGACGTATCTCAGAGTCTGGAACTATACCTGGCATGTTGTTAGTGATCAATAAAACGTACTGACTGTTACATGACTTAAAGATGAGTATTTCAAGAGCTGTAGGAAAAGGATCACCTTCACCTTCATGGAGAAGGTGATATTGAACAGGGCCTGAGAGCAGTGAGATTGACATCCTCGACTACGTTGCGCAGGCTGTCAAATCTCGGGCAGTGGGCCAAATAAAAGGCACATCCTCTACAACATCCCAGCCTTCACATATTATGAGTAGAGTGGTTCAACAGATAGTAAAGAGGCTTTGTGTAGGGAGAAGATCAGAATGAGGCTGGAAAGACAGATGGCGGCCAGGTCAGGGCGGTAGAGAAGAAACCCTAGTCCCTGCTCCTCAGGAGCTTGCAATCTGTCTGACAAGTAAGGTAAACACACGTGCAAGAGGACGTAAAAACATTAAACCAGCAATCCATTCACACCTGTTAGAATAACATCGAAAAGATAAGAAATAAAAAGTGTTGATGAGGATGTGGAGAAAAGGGAACCCTCATGCATTGTTGGTGGGAATGTAAATTGGTGCAGCCATTATGGAAAATGGTATGGAGGTTCCTCAAAAAATTATAAATGGAACTACTATGTGATCCAGCACTTCTGGGTATTTATTCAAAGGAAAATAAACCATTCTCTCAAAAAGATATCTGCACCCACAGGTTCATTGCAGCATTACTTACAATAGCCAAGACGTGGAAACAACCTAAGTGTCCATCGACGGATGAATGGATGAAAATGTGCTATCTGTACACACAATGGAACATTATCCAGCCATAAAAAACACGAAATTCCTGCCATCACAACAGCACGGTTGGACTTCAAGGACATTATGCTAAGTGAAATAAGTCAGAGAAGGACAAACACTGTATGACCTGACTTGTATGTGAAATCTGAAAAATCCAAACTCATAGATAACAGAGAACAGATTGGTGGTTGCCAGAGGCGGTGGGTGGGGAGTGGAAGAACTGGATGAAGGGGGTCCAAAAGTACAAACTTACAGTTATAAGGTGAATAAGTCCCAGGGATGTAAGGTACAGCTATAGTTAATAACACCATGTAGTATATTTGAAAGTTGCTTAGAGAGTAGATCTTAAAAGTTCTCATCACAAAAAAATTTTAAGAAAACCAGTATCCAAATTGAAGGTACAGAAGATGAGGGCATATCTGGAGGTGGAGACAAGTGTAAATATGGCTCTGTGAGACCAGATACTTCTTAAATTCCTTAAAGACAATGACCATTCCCTACTAAAATCAGGGTTGCATATGTTTTAGACTTTCACTGCTGATGGAAATGATACTACATTGGATATTCCTCAGCACCCTCTTCTTCCAGAAAGATCCCCCTAAGCAGAGGGCCTTCTTTCTGTAATATCACTATACTTCAGTAAGCCATATTTAATAAGTAAAACTTAAGAGGAGAAATGTATTATAGTAAACAGGAGATGTTTTTCTAAGGTCTCCCTTAGATACAGCTAGGGTGCAGAATTTTTTGTTTGTTTTTAAATTTTTGGCCGCACCGCGTGGCATGTGGGATCTTGGGTCTTAGTTCTCTGACCATGGATTGAACCTGCGCCCCCTGCATTGGAAGGTAGAGTCTTAACCACTGGACTGTCGGGGAAGTCCCCAGAATTGGTTTTTGTATGTTCTCTTAGAGTTGAAATAGATTTGGAAGTATTTCTCACTACCCCGTGCTTCATATTTTAAACAAATTTTCCCCCTATTCTCCCCTCCCTTCCTCTTGCAAATCCTCCCAGTTTGTACCATTTCTAAAAGATGCATCTAAGGTCCGAGTATGTCATGTTCATGAATGAGTATGTGAGCATCTGCGGGTAGAGAGAGGCTCTCAACAGGAGTGAGGAAGGTGCTGGTGTGTGATTACAGGAAGGGAGGCTTCCCTGTTACCACAGTGACAACACATGTGACCAGGGTACTGTGTGGACAGAACCTCTGCGTGAGGTTCTTTTATTTATCCGCTCAGTCCCTGCCCCTCCCCACACAGAGCCCCCAGCATCACTCTTCCTGTGTTCTGAGATAATCCCACTTCCCTCAAACTCTGCTTTCCTATTCTGCTAATTCCAGTATATCTGTCTGGTCAGGGACTTCATATATAAATCCTCACTTTAGTTTCCCCACCACTTTCTCCAAATCTGCTCAGCTTGTATCCATCTTTTCCTCCTTTTGTGAGGCCATTTTTCGTACTTTTTTGAACCAGATACCCTGGAATACTTTGATCATCCTGTTTCCCACAGGGAGTTTTTATTGTTACATATACTTTTTTTGTATTTTCCGTCAGATGGTGAGACCTGGACTGAGGATCAATTAATTATAAAGCAGAAAACTCTTGAAGTAGGGACACAGCCACATGAAGGAGGGGAATGTGAACGAAACAAACATGTGGGACCCTATGGGTATGGACAGAATTTTGGTCATATCTCAGACTTTATCCGACAGCCACGCATTCTTATGGAAGAGAAATCTCAAATGTGCAACACTTGTGGCAAGCTATTCAGACGGAACACATACCGTATTCAGCATGAAAAAATCCACACACAGGAGAAGCCTTATGAGTGTCATGAATGTGGAAAAGCCTTTGGCCATAGTTCAAATCTCATTCAGCATCAAAGAATCCACACCGAGGAGAAACCCTACGAATGCGGTGAGTGTGGGAAGGTCTTCCGGCGCAGCTCACACCTCATCCAGCATCAGATCATCCACACGGGGGAGATGCCTTACCTGTGTAATGAGTGCGGAAAAGCTTTCGGTCGGAGCTCAAGTCTCCTTCGACATCAAGAGAATCCACACTATGGAGAAGCCCTATGAATGTACCGAATGTGGGAAGGCCTTCAGCCAGAGCTCAAATCTAACAGAACATAGGCGAGTTCACACCAGAGAGAGACCATACGAATGCTGCGACTGTGGGAAAGCTTACAGTCGTAACTCACACCTCATCGAACATCAGAGAGTCCATACAGGGGAGACTCCTTATGACTGTAATGAGTGTGGGAAATCTTTCAGTAGGAGTTCACTCCTTATCAAACATCATAGAATTCACACTGGAGAAAGACCCTATGAGTGTAGTGAATGCGGGAAGGCCTTTAGTCGGAACTCCCACCTTATTCAGCACCAGAAGACTCACAGTGGGGTAAAACCTTCTGAATGTAAAGAATGTGGGAAAACCTTCAAGTACAGTTCATACCTTATTGATCACCTGGGAATCCATTCATGAGAGAAACTGTGAATGAAGTGAAGGTGGTAAAGCCTTTGTTTGGAGTTCAGCTCTTAGCGAACATCAGAGAACTCGTGCTGGGGAGAAAACCTTTGGCTGTAGTGAGTGCAGACGGCCTTCAGTCCTAGCTCAACTCTTACCAAGACCTGAAAATCCACATAGTGGACAGATCTCATGGATGTGTTCAGTGCATAAGTACCTTTAGACAGAGTTCCCGCCTTACTCAGCATTAGCCAGTTTGCTTTGGGGGAATGATGGGTATGGGGAGAGCCTTGCTATGTGTCAGAGAGGGGCACGAAAGGGGCGTCATCTGACACTACAGAAGGAATGACTAAAGTGGAAGCTTAAGTTAGCACTACTTTTTTTTGAGGATCTACATCAGAGGGAGATTCTATGTTTTTTTTTCACATCTCCATAATCTTCTGCCAGAAATGGAATGGGTTAGGTCCATTCCAGGGAAGAAAGAATCAGGGCATTCTGGATTCAGACTCATAGATCAGGAAAGCTGCAGTGTGACCTTTGAATCCAATAGCTTTCCTTGTATCTCATCTGTCCTGTTGGTTGTAACTATACATGGAAGTGGCTCTTGGGTCTTCTTGGACCAGCATTTTCCCTCCTCAATGTCCTGCAGACTACTGAATCTCTTTTTGTTTTATATTTCATAGATGCTTTTAATAAATGGGCAAATTTTCTAAGCCCAGTAATTTCTCAGTATAACATGTCATGGGCTTTGTTACGTGTCAACTCCGGTAGGCTGAAGTGCATTTGTCAGATTTCCCTTTCTTGTATTTTTCGGTTTGTGTGGTCTACAAGGGAGATTCTTGGGAGAGCTGGAGGGCAGAACAGAAGCAGCAGTAATTTTGTAGCTCACACATGTCACTGATCTGCTGACTCACCTCACTGGCACTGGACATGAAACTAGTGTACCTTCCCCAGGATTCTTTTTTGCCTTTACTGGGCCGTGATTTTCCTTCTCTGATTGAATCCTAGTCAGACACATGCTTACTATCCTATGAGAAGTACACATTTATTTCAAGTTTAGGTAGAGAGAAATGGTTAGCTTCTGGCTGTTTTTAAAAAAGAACCTCAATAATAAGCTTCAAGATTTCCTATCAGGAAAGCTACTGTTCAGACTCCTTTATAACAAAACTTCCATCATAACCTGAGGCAGAGCTTCACTACCGTGTAATTATCGAGGGAAAAGTTTGCAAAGTAGTTGAACAGTGTGATACATGATCGACTGATAAAATTTAAAAAAATCAAAAATTTGAGCACCAATTTATCATGAATATTTTAATAATTAAAGAAGATTCCCAAAGTACCTCTAGTAGGCAGTATATTTTAGATTTATTCTAGGCATCTGAGAGAAATATCTACTTTGTTGTAAACGTTTATGTTTTGATTACAAAAAATCAGATTATTTTTCCTCCTGTTAGTCTGGATTAGTGATTACCTAAAATATCGGTGAAAACTATACTTATGTTGCAGACTCTTGAAATTGAAAGTTGCCTCTGTCTTGTATACCTTTCCCTGCCTGGTCTGGTGCTATGCACACAGGTGTTCAGTGGCTGTGGAGTGAATCTGTTTACTGGAAGCCAAAGTCTTCCTGTTTGTCTCCACACTTCTCTGCACTCCCTCACCTTCCTCCCCTGTTCCTGTAGGTGATTATCACACTACACAAGGGTCACCTTGCCATCTGGACACCCTGAGTAGACTCTGTGAGGCCAGGTCTGAGCCCTCAGCCAGTGGGCCCACTTACTCCATCTGGCATGTAACCCTCTTCGAGTCCCTTCCACCCCTTATACGACAGAAAGGGCCCTTTCCTTCTATGGGGTCTGAGAAGCTTCTGGAATAAGGCAGGGCTTGATGAGTGGGGTCTGAAGGCCAGGTCGGATTCTGACTGGCCGAGAAGGGCACCCCAGGACAAGGTAAGTGTGTGGGGTCACGTGCCAGGCTGCAAGAGCGGAGGTGTCACTGGAGGCCAGGAGAGGGGAGAAAAGAGTTTGCCTATCAGTATCAAAAGCACTCAAGCAGGGCTCTGGTTCTTTAGGCACAAATATTACTAGTGGACAGAGTAGTTCATCAAGCCGTTAGAGCTCAGGTGAACACGAGGGTGACCAGCTCATACCAGTTTGCCAGGACTTTCCCAGGCTTAACATCAGACATCCCACATCCAGTAAAATGCTCAGTCCTCCGCAAACCAGGAGGGTGGATCACCCAAACCTATCGTGACCTCATTTCCCCCACCACCACCACCAATGGCTCCTAGCTGCAGCAGGACCCAGTAGAGCAGAGATTCTTAGCTTGGGTTGCCTACTGGAATCACCTGGGGAGCTTTCAAAGCACTGGAGCCTCAGTCTCTGAGGTTGTGTACATTTGGTATGGGGTATGGCCTGGACTTTGGTGTTTTGTAAGCTCCCAAGTAATTCTAATGTGCAACCAAGGTTGAAAATCTATACAGTAGAAGTTATCAATGCTTCACAGGTGCTAAGAGGACACAAAGAGATCACACAGGATCTGGTGGCTTAGGTACTGAGGGCTGGCAAGAGGGCTGGGCTGGGAGTATGGAGAGACTCTGGGGCCTGTGTGAGAGGAGACAGACTGGGTGTCCCAGGCCAGGTGGAAGGAGCGGTGGGAGGGACTGTTGTGCTGGGGGTGGAGCCAGCTATTGGGTGGGCGCCCTCAGGGCCTGCTCATTGCCGGGTTCTGGTTCTGTCCTGTGCAGTAAAGCTCTGGTTTGGGTAACTTTGGATTTTCCCTTTGGAGCTTGGGACCAAGGAAAGCACAGAGCCTGGGGGAGTCAGAACTGAAGACTCCAGCCCCAGCTCATGGGCTCTCTACCTACTTTTCCAGCAGACAGTTCCCTCTTCCCTTGCCTGTCCCCCTACCCTAGACCCGGGAAAACATGAAAATGCTTCCAGAGGAGACTATGACCTAAGCTTATACACACTTTCTAAAATATTCAGTCCTGGGAGGGGCTGGTCTGGCAGTCCCAAGCCATACTTTGAACACAGCCTTGGGCCCCCTGGGTGAGAGGCATTTCCTATGCTCTGGTTGAAGGGGTAGGAGTCTTTGGGCAATGGGGATCTTGACTTAAAAAAAAAAAGTACAACGTGAGAGCTGTGAGTTAAGTTTTATTTGGGGCAAAATAAGGACTGCAGCCCCGGGGGGACAGCGTTTCAGATAACTCTGAGAAATTGCTCCAGATTATTGTTAAAGAAAACCAGATATCTCAAGGAATTTAGCGCTTTTCTATGTATGGGAAGATGCAAGAGTCTTGGCTCACTGAAATCATTCATTTGCTGTGCACCTCAGTTATCTGGGGCCAGTAGCCTGACACATCCTGGGTTTCCTCAGGGTTCACCGCAGGGAGTGGCCGCAGTCTGATGGCTGCTAGGTGGCAGGTGTTCTTTTCAGCCCTGAGTTTCCTCAGCTCACGTTGGAGGGCTGCAGTCGTTGACAACTGTGACATCCTTTGTTTATTGATATGGCAGGAAATAGTTCATTTCTCAGGGAGACAGGAGGAGGAGGAAGTTGAATTTTGGCAGTGGCACCCACATGGACTGCTTTAATCCCACCAAAGGCCCGTCATGGCCCTCAGAATGAAATCAACAAGACCTTCAAATCCCAGCTCTGCCCACTGACTTCTCCAGCCCTCTGTGGCCTCCCCTTCTCCCAGTCATTCTGAAATTCACTGGGTCCTTGAACACAGTATTTTTCAAATGTAGGTAAAGAGCCACTAGGGGGTCTTAACATTAATTTATTGTAATGAGTTGAGAGTAGAAAAGGATAAAAGGAAAAAGTAGGCAGAACTAGAACGGAGTAGAAAACATCCATCACAAAGGTAAGTCAGACTTTTGTTCTGTTTGTGCACAAGGGAGCATATGTGCAAAGTATAATGTACAGTATTTCTTGCTGTAGAGCAGGTAAAAGTCTTTGCACATTGCAATCCCTTTTTGGGAGTAAGATTCTGTCTAGAAGGGCCTTCTTGGCAGGTCTTCCTTTGGACTGAATTATTCGCGCTCTGCAATTGCCGTAGCATGCTATATACTTTCTGTGCACCGAGCACACTTTAAAAAAATGATTTATTCAGTTGCCTGTCTTCTGCGCTTGCTGCAAGCTCGATGAGGGCAGGGACCATGTTCACCTATCCTGGCCTCTGTCATTAGAGAAAGCACTTGCGTTGAGTGGCTGAGTGATAAACCCGGGTTCAGTTTCCAGCTGTTTGTGTTCTTAGACAAGGTCTCTTTTTATTTTTTCTGATTTTTTTGTCTGATTTATATACAGAAAACTTGAAAGAATAGAATAATGAACACCCTATATATCCTCCACTTAGATGGACAGTATTAACATTTTTCCATATTTGCTTTCTATCTATATGCTTTTTTTCTGAATCATTTGAAAGTAAGCTCAGATATAACCTTCACCCTAAATACTATGGCACGTGTCTCCTAAGAGTAAGGTCATTCTCCTACATAATCGCAACAATATTAACATACCTAAGAAAAATAATTTAATTCCATAATACCATCTAAAATGGACTCTGTATTTAGATTTTCCCTAGTTGCCCCAGAATGTGTTTTATAGTTAGATTATTTCCAATCAGAAAAAAAAATCAAGGGTCACATTACATTTGGCTTTATATCTCTTTAGTTTCTTTTAATCTAGAATAGTTCCACTTTTTCTTTTTTTAATGACAGTGACTTTTGGAGGAGTCAAGAAGAGTTATCCTTTATAATTTTCTACAAAATTGATTTCCTTGTTTTACTCCAGTGGTATACTTAGCTTCCTTGTCGCCCCCCTGTATTTTCTCTTAACTGAAAAGAGGTTTAGAGGCTTGATGACACACACCTGTGAATACCTCACAGGTGATGTCTCCTTCATACTGCTATCACCTCAAGAGGCACACGATGTCAGATTATTCCACCCCAAGTAGTGCTGTTTGTTCACTTGTTTAAGGTAGTGACTGCTAGATTTCTCCTATGTAAAGATGTTTTCCTTTTGCAGTTAGTAATTTGTGAGGATGATAAACTCCAGCACCATGTGAAGAATCTGTTCCTTTACAGCCTAATGTTTTTAGTAATCATCCATGATCCTTTAGCAACCATCCACGTGATAGTTTGGGCATGTTCTTAACCTGAAACTCAGTTTTTTCATCTGCAGCCTGGGTATAATAATGCCCATGATTTGGATTTGATGTGTAAGAAAGTATGACGATGCTGTCACGGTCTGCCATAACTTCTCCCTTCTTCTGAGAACATCTTTTAGAAAGGTGTTCTAAAGGTGTTCACTTCCTTTTAGAAAGTTTGTATGCTGCTCCAGATAAGTGGTCCAAATCGCCGGCTTCTTAGATGATCCTACCTGCCTGGCCTCTGTGGGGCACAGCTGAGTCATCTTCTTTGGCCAGAGTGGAATGAGCTTTTGACCAGAGCTGAGCCAATCAGAATGCTTCCCTGGGAAATTTCCAACCAAGTAGGGGTGGGAATAGGGTGAAGAAGATATTCTTTTTCCCTCAGGTGGCTAAATGTGAGGATGTGAGTCTGGAAGTTGACTGTGTCCCCTGCCGCCTGGAGGATGATAGCCTATGGGGTGGAGGGGATCAAAGCCATCTCTCTGAGGTCAGGGCAGAGGGGGTCTCCCTGGCCTGGCTCCAGGCCTCCCCAGCTGTACTCTGCCCTGCCCCAGCTAAGCCAATAAAGACCCTGTCTTGCCTGAGCACTTACAAATCTGGGTCTGAACCTTAGGACAGATAGAATCCTGACTAGTAAAAGGGCCTTTGCTATGCCTCTCCCATGATAGGTGATTCAATAAATTAGTGGTTCATCAGCTCTCATCCCTTCCTGTTGTCTTTGAATATGTGCTGGCCCTAGTGAAGAGGTGTGAGGAGGTGGCAGACATGGTCCTGGCTTTTTAAAATCTTAGGAGTTACAAATGCGTTTCCTTGGTGGGCGTAGACTCAAAGCAAGGGGGGGCTGGTGACTTATCCGGGTCCAAGTGTGGCCGCTCTTGCCACTCGAACCGGCCCCCCAGCCCCACCCCCAGGGCCAGGAGCCAGAGTGCCTGTCTTGGAAGAGCCTAAGTTTAAAAGTTTAAAACCAGCCCACGTGGTGAGAGGTGCAGTCAGCCTTAAGACGCGAGGGCAGAGAAGAGCGGAGGAATGTGAGGGCCAGGGGCGGAGGGGGGTGGGGGGCTGAAGGCGATCAAAACGCATGCGCAGGGCAAGGGCGAGGGAGGGCCTGGGAGTGGGGGAGGGGGGTGAGCGAGGGTCTTGGGGAAGGGGAGCGAACTGGCAGGGCCTTGGATAGTCAGGAAACTCTGGCTTCTTCCAGGCTCGCGGTCCAGGCTGCTGTTTGTGTAGCGCTGCCTCTCTGCGGAGTCCACAGCGAAGTGCCTTCCAGGCATTTCCAGCCATCTCACGGGGGGAGTTACTATTATCATTCCCGTTTCACAGATGAGAAAACTGATACCCAGGAAGGAGAAGTAACTCACCCAAGGTCATCCTGCTGGTGATGGCAGAGCTGGAATCCGAATTCAGATCCGCGGACTTAAGGTTGCTCCAGCCCCCACTCTGTTCCGGGACTGCGGACCACCCCGGAGGCCAGGTTTCCCCAGCCGAGGGCCAGGTGAGCGGCGGGCGGCGGCGGGCCGAGAGGTGAGAACCCCCGCCTTCCCCTGCAGGGCCCCGAGGGCTCGGTGGGCTCTGCCGGGAGACGGAGCAGACCCTCGCCGGGCCTCGGGGGCCAACGGAAGGTCCGGACCGCGGGCCGCCTGGAGGGAAGCCCCGCCCGGGAGACTGGGAGACTGGGAGACCCCAACGGTGCCTCGGCAGAGGGACGGGAAACACCGGGGTGGGGGGCGGTGGCGAGCGGAGGTGGAGTCACGGGTTGGGAGGGGGAGGGCGAGGAAGAGGAAGAGGCCCCCCAAACCCCAAACATTACCGGCCGGCTGTTGGGACCCGCGGGGCTGGATCTGGGGGCTGATGGCCAGGTCAGCACCCATCTTTGGGTCTGGAAAATGTCACTGGGGCTTTGGGGCCACGGAAGGGTGGAGGGTGGTCAGCAGGAAGGAACCTCTGGCGGAACCTAAGCTAGTCTGCATTCCAAGTAGCCTCAAATTACTGGCGGGAAAAGTGGGGAGTGAGGCTCCTCGAGGCCCAGATGGTTCCCTCCTGGTCTCTTCCCGGTCCAGCCTGAGATGCGCTCTATGTTGCTCCTCTTGTTCTTCACCCTGTGTAGTCCTCAGCTGTCCCTGGCATGCGCAGGGCCTGGGCCGGTGACAGGGCTGCCCTCGGGCTGCGGCGCGATGGCTCAGGGAGACCCTGCCAGCGGGAACCGGGCCCCACGGAGCATGCAGATCTTCTACTTTACAGTGCCATAGGTCCTTTTCAAAATAATAATGAAAACAATTGGTGAGAGTAGATGGCAGTAGTTTTGCTTTGTTTTGAATGCCCTTGGCAAAGTAAAAAGTTGGTAGTTTTCTGTTCCCCCCATTCTCTCTCCCTGACCCCGACTTTTGGGAATCCCGAACTGAACTGCTGGCCAGTGGCGACTAGTGAAGAGGTGAGGAGGGAGGGGCAGCTGTGCAGGACTGTGGTCCCTGCCTCCACTCTGACTGAGCCTGGGATCCTGGACCAGTCCATTCTTCTTTCCAGCTGTTTCCCCAACAGTACAAAGGGTTCTCCAAATCCCCCTTTACATGAACATGTCTATGGTCCTTTGAGTCTGGCTCATATCAGTGTGTCCCCCAATTGTATATCCCTGGTGCACAGTCGTCCAGAACCAGCACTGGGGGCTGCTGCATGCAGGACGCTGGCCTATCCCCGGAGAAAGGCCCATAAGGTCCCCCTCACTGGAGAGCAGCCTGGGGTGGGCAAGGGGACAGACAGCTAGGAGGTGGCGCATGGCCTCTCAGTCACCCCGGGGGGGGGAGCGGGGGAGGGAAAGCGCTGTCCCGCGTGACAAGTTTATGTGTCTCTTCTCCCCAGTAGTTACCAAGAGCCTGCGAGTTCCTGTCTTTTTTCATCCCTGATTCTCCCCATTGGCCTAAGCTGGGCATGGGGCGCCCAGTAAGTACACAGTGCACTTTTGTGGAATGAATGGTTAATGGCTGGTGGCTGGGAGGGTCCATGGAGTGGACAGGACCAAGGTGAGCTTTGCAGAAGATGTGGGATTTAAAAGGTCTAGAGGTGAAGTGAGGGCACCGCACCCCCCTCCCCTCGGGAAAGGCTGGAGGTGCTTGGGGTGACTGTGGTGTTCTGGGAATGGAGGGAGACATGGCGGGTGTGGAGGCAGGAGGCTGGGTGCGTGGGAAACTTTATGAAAGAAAAGCTGAGAAGGTGAGGAATGCTGAGGAGGTGGAAGTGTGGGAGAAATAGAGAAGCCGGCAGGAGCTCCAGGCTAGAGCGTGGGGGAAGGAGAGGGTGACTAAAATAGGGAAGACACCGAGCTCAGCTTTAGACGCGTTGAGGTTCATTGGGGGGGCGGGGGGGCAGGAAGGGGCTCAGACCATCAACGGAAAATGTCCAGGGTTCTCCATTCCATCCAGAGGATGGGGGTCAAGATGCCGCCATGACTCCTACCTGGAGAGCTTTAGAGCTAGGACTCAAGGCTCTCTGGTCTTCATCCTCTTAGAGTAGAGGACACCGAGGCCCTGAAGTTCAGGTGACTCATCAGTACTGGCCAGAGGGTGGAGGGAAGATCGAAAGGGAAGCTTTGCAGAGACGGCAGGATAAATTTTTCAGGGGGAAAGACCTGAAAAAAAGAAAGTAATGAACAACAGAAAGAGGAGAGAGTGCTTTAGAAAGTTTCCAAGCACTCTGACAGCAGTCGGAGGTTAACAGTTGTTAACCCTTTTATAGACAGCAGATTTCCTCTGCCCTCTACCATCAGGCTTGTTCTGCTGTGGTGATCAGCAGATCTCAAAGCCTCAGACACTCCTTGCCCCCGGCTGCAGTGAGAGGGGCATCCGCTTGGGGAGCGTGGAGGGGCCCCAGCGTGTGGGCACACACAGGGGCGGAGAGGAGAGGGAAACCCCTCACTCCGAGGGCCTTGTCTTGCGCACAGCAGTGCGCAGCTGCGAAGCTTGGTGCTGCCAGGCAGTCTGCTTAGGCAGGAGCCTCCAGGCCTGGCTCTGGGCATGACTTGGAAAGAAGGGCTGTTGTCTTGGGGTGTCCTCCACCTCCCATGTCCTGTCTCTCACCCCCTGATGTCGCCATTCTGCACCGCCGTGTGGCCAGGGTCATTGGGGGCCACCCGGACAGGGCCTGCCCTGCCTGCCGCACCCAGGCTTCCAACCGCCCCTCTCCTTCCCCTGCCAGCCTGGAGAGGAAAGCAGACTAGTTGAATACATTTGCCCTTGGGTGGTGGATGTGAATTTCCCTCAGGAATGCTTGCATTTTAGGAGAAGTTGGCGGCCCCTCACCCTCCAACTTTAACCAAACGCCTGGGCCCTAAGCACTGTGCTTGACACGTCGTTGGCAGCATTTCACTTGGCCCTGGCAAGGACCTTACTAGGCAGGTGTTATTTCCTCTTTTTTCCAAATGGGGACCCAAGGTCCTGAGAGTTTTAGCCAGTTGCCCGAGGTTACCCGGCCAGCAAGTGATAAAGCTGGGACACAGTCACGGGCGTCCAGAACCAAATCCAGCTGTCGTCACTTAGCTTCCACATCACAGGTGCTCCTTCCAAGAAGACATCCTTAATGACAGCTGGTGGTGATGGAGAAGTTATGAGGGATCCTTAACTGAGGGTCTTGACCTCCAGGCCTAGAGGGTACCTAGGGCTTCAGGAGGGTCTGTGAAACTCTAAAACTATTTTTAAAACTTTCTGTGTGCATATTTTCTGCTCATTTTTCAGCAGAGGGCTCCTCCAGGCCAGGGGGACCCCTGTCCGTCTATACCCCAGGTCCTGAGAAAAGGCCAGTCACTGAGCAAAGGCACTTCAGGCCCTGGTTTTAATCTCTGCCCTGGTCCTCATTCTGAAATCTCAAAAGGCACATAGTAGCTGACAGCTGACTGGAGAGGTTCTTCTGTGGCCAGTGGGTGGGTGTCAACAGAACTGAGAGGTTAGAACTTTAGAGCTGGGAGAGGTGGACATTTTACAGAGGTGGAAATTGAGGCTCAAAGAAGGGACCCCACACGCTCAAGATTGCCCAGTGAATTAGTGGAAGAAAATGTTTTATGCATTGTTTAGGCCTACTGAAGAGGTCTGTAAGGCTGTAAGTTTAATCAAGGCAAAGAAATCAACATTTCTCGAGCCTCACGTGTGTTAACATGTCCACGGGCATCATCTCCTTCACCCCGTGCTGCGTGAGGACCCCCCCTTCATTGTTCCCCTCCACAGGTGATGCTGACATTAGAGGACAAAGACATGAAGGGGTTCACCTGGGCCATAGCCCCTGCCTTGACCTCCCTGGGCTACCTGCTTATACTGCTGGTCTCCATCTTCCCCTTCTGGGTTCGTCTGGTGAACGAGGAGTCCCAGGAAGTGTTTTTCAGTGGCCTCTTTGAGAACTGCTTCCATATCAAGTGCTGGAAGCCACGACCCTTACCCGGTACGGGGGAAATGGAGGCGGGGATGGGGGCTTGGGAGACGGGACCAGCGTGGGCATTGGGGGCCCAGGTGGGGGCAGCTAGGACAGAACTGAATTCACCCCTGCCTTCTCCTCACTAGAGTCCATTAGCGCCACACCCCCCCCCCCCCCCCCCCCGCCCCGCGCTAGTTGTGATGCCCACTGTTACCTCCTGGGATTGCCAGACATCCCCTGTGGGGGCAGTAGTGCCCTTGCTAGAGAACCACTGGTTTAATCCCAGGGTAGGTTCTAGGATATCTGGGTCTTCAACACCTTTGTCTCTTTGTCCCTCCCCCAGCCGCTCACCTCTGCATGCTCAGGAGATCACACAGACTTACCTTAACAAGGTCTGAATCATGCCAACAGTAGGAGAATGAATTCCCCTCGATCCTCGGTCTGTTTCACTACTGCTATTAACGTGGATAATTAAATAGGGGTGTGAGGGGCTCCCTTGCAGAGTTCAGAATATCCTGACCTCACAGAGTTCTGATTTTCCACCAGTGACTCTTTCAGTGTGACCAATGCGGATGCAATTCTTCACATTTCCACATGCAACAAATTTTATCACGACAGTTTCATTTTATGTTGTTTATTAAAGCCACCGTTTTTTCCCAAAAAATACATGGTTTTCCCCTACGCTTTGATACAACCAGATTCATGTAACAGTATTTGTTAAGAATTGGTTAATAATTTCAGTGTCTGAAATTGCCCATCTGACTTTTTTTTCATGTCATGGGGAACAAGATGGTGGGCCTAGGGCATGCTTGGGGGCAAAGCAGTCGGGTCGGAGCCTTGGTCCCAGGCCACGCTTTGGGACCTGATGGCGACCCGGCTCCGGGGCCACCCCTGCCCGGGCTCTGCAGGGCTCTGCCCTCTGGGCCAGGGTGCCCGGCGCCAGCCCGCTCTCCCTCCCTCCCCTGCAGTTTACATCATCGTGGGCCGTGTTTTCCTGCTGTCCGCTGTCATCTTGTCTTTCCTCACCACCGTCGTCATGGTGTCCTTTGCATCTCGGCTCTTTCCGAGGACCCGGAAGCACAATCTCGTGTCAGCCTTCATCAGCTTCCTCACAGGTGGGGAGCAGCAGGCGGGCCCCAGCCTTGCGGGTGGGGGATCTGGGGAGATGGCAGGAGATGGGGGGTGGGTGGTCTCTGGAGAGGGGATTTTTTAGGGCCCCTCTCCTCCACTGCCCTCTCAATGAAGTAGCCCACCCCAACCCGCCCCCTCAGGGTTTGTGATTCCCCCGCTTTGGGGCTCATCCTAACCGCACTCCCAGCGGACACAGTCCTCACAGCCTTGGCTTGGTGTCATCTGTCTGGGGGTCTTTTCCCCATAATCTCTATCCCAGCAACTGTCATAGAATCTGGTACAGGGTTATAATAGAATTGAAATATAGAATATAAATGAAATACAAATGTTTCTTGGATGAATGAATGGAAGAGATCATCTCTGCCCTCTGGAACCTTTTGACTTTAAAAGGCTGACCAAGGCCCTACCCTGGGAGGCTCCCATCAGATGGAGGAGGTGGAACGCTCACAGTGGGAAAATCAGGTTGAGTTTCGTCCAAAGCGTCACACCCAGGGGGCCCCATCTGGAGTCAGCCAAGAGCACAGGCACAGAGGGTACCCGGGAAGGGGATTTCTGATCATGGGGCCCCTGGGAGGTGAGGCACACGGGCTTTGAGATGAGTTGGGAAGGAGGGCGAGACAGGCACGTGGGGTGGAGGTTATTGGCTCTGAAGGGACAAGGGTGCGGGCAGGAGCCACAGGTGTAGGAAGGCTAGAGTGGAGGAGTGGAGGTGGGAGCCACGGGAGGAGAGCAAGGCTGCCGCCCTGTGACCCACAGGGGCCTGTGCCTTCCTGGCCTTGTTGCTGCATGCCCTGGAGATCCGGAGTCTGCGGATGAAGCCCAGCCCCCCGCAGTTCTTCGTGCAGTGGCCTTACTACGTCCTGGGCTTTAGCATCCTTCTGTTCCTAGTGGCTGGTGAGTGTCCCAGGGCTGGTGCCCTCTCCCTGCCCTCTGTCTGGATTCAGGAGCTGTGGACGCTCTAGAGCTGTGCTGTTCAAAACCGTAGTCACTTGTGGCTATTTAATTAAAATGAAATCAAGTTAGAAATTGAGTTCCTCAGTCACGCCAGCCACATTTCACATGTTCAAAAACCACATTATTATGTGCCTAGTGGCTTCCACATTGGACGGTGCGGATGCAGAAGTTTCTACTGGACAGCACTGCTTTAGGGCCTCAGCCCTGTCCCCCACCCTCGTCCTCCCCATTCTTATGCTCCTTGACTTTAGAACCAAACTTGCACACTTTCATACTCTCCCTTACCACCATCCCGGTTCCTAAGGCTTTCTATTCCTGTCTCTTTATCTTGAAATCTGTGATCTTATTCCTCACTCAGTCGCTTTTTCTTTACCAACCGTCATCATCGAAATTCTTAATCCCATCTAATTTTGTCCCTACTCCTAATCTTCTTCCCACTATTTTAACCTGACCCATGATCAGAACCTATTTTAACTTGATTTTATTATACATTGAATATATAACAAAGAATGTTTATAGTATATCTGTAAGATACAAGTAATTGTAAATAAACTGTACACCCATATTTCCACCATATAGCTTGAGAACTAGCCACGTTTTGTCGAATCCATCGTTTATAAGTTACACCCTTATTTTATGTACCACTGAGAAAGAAAAATTGATACCAAGTATAATTCTAAGGTGCTAGAGCTTGTAAGGTACATCCTCATTTCAGAGATTTTAAAATGTGAAAAAAAAATGGGTTTGTCAAAATTAACGAAACATGTTAGAACATTAAGTATTCAATATCTTTGAAGTCTTCCCCCCTCTACCATGTGGCTGTTCCTGGTCACTTCCTCTTCTCTCCCCTCTGGATTCAATTCTTCAGAAATTTATGCCAATCATGTTTACTACACATATATATCCTTAAACAAGGTACTATTTAGTTTTGCATGCTTTAAAACTTAATATGAATATAATCAAACTGTGTTTTTCCTTCTGGAGTTTGCTATGTTTGATCAGCATAATCTTGAGATTCCTCCATGTTAATATGAGGAACTAAGCTTCATTCATTTTTACCACCTTGATTATTTAATTGTATAACTAAGCTTTCCTGTAGAAGCATGGCATTTCTCTATGGGAGAATTTTAAGTTTATGACTGAGTTTCTTTCATGATTATAGGACTATTCAGATATTTTATTTCTTCTTGAGTCAGTTTTGGTAATTTATATATTTCTCTAAGTTTATACATTTTATCTAAGTTTTAAATTTTATTGATGTAAAATTACTCAATGTTTTCTGTTTTAACTTTTAATTTGTGCTGCATCTGTAGTTATGTACTTTAAAAAAAATTATTTTTGGCTGCGTTGCGTCTTCATTGCTGCGCGCGGGCTTTCTCTAGTTGTGGTGAGAGGGGGCTACTCTTCGTTGTGGTGCGTGGGCTTCTCATTGCGGTGGCTTCTCTTGTTGTGGAGCATGGGGTCTAGGTGTGCGAGCTTCAGTAGTTGCAGCACGGGGGCTTCAGTAGTTGGGGCTCGCGGACTTTAGTGCGCAGGCTCAGTAGTTGTGGCGCATGGGCTTAGTTGCTCGGTGGCATGTGGGATCCTCCCGGACCAGGGATCGAACCGTGTCCCCTGCATTGGCAGGTGGATTCTTAACCACTGCGCCACCAGGGAAGTCGCTGTAGTTATGTACTTTTTTCACACCTAATTTTCTCTTTTTTCATTACTATGTTTGTTAGAGGTTTATCAGGTTTTTTTTAGTGTTTTCAAAAAACCAGCATCTTAGCTTTCTTGAAAACAAACCTTGTTTGTTTTCTATTTAATTACTTTTTGCTTCTTATTTTGAACTTCCCTCCCTACTACTTTTTTGTGTATTTATTCTGCTGTTCCTTTTTCAGCTTCCTAAATCAGGATCTAAGCTCATTGATTATTTCTTCTTTTCTAAGTAGGCATTTAAAGCTTCAGCTGCCCTCTAAGAGTTGCATCTTTATTTGCAGCTCTCATTTTGATGTGTAATATCTTTTGTTGTTGTTTGATTTCAGATATTTTCTTGTTCCCCTTATGATTTTTTCTTTGATCCGTGAATTATTTAAAAATATACTTTTAAATTTCTAAGCATAGAATTTTTATTGTATCTTGGTGATAATGATTTTAACTTAGTTTCAATTTGATGAGAGATCATGGTTTATATAGTCCTAATATTTTCAGATTTATTGACTTGCTTTATAGCCTAGTCTGAGGTCCGTTTTCATGTCTCATGGTGAATGCAACCTTTTATCTATAAACATTACATCAAGCTTTTTTATTATCTTGTTTAAACCTTGATTTAAAATTGCTATATTTTACTAGTGGATTGAACTTTTTATCATCATGCTGTGATACTTTTTATTTCTTATAATGCTTTTTGTTGTAAAGTCTGTTTTATCTGATATTACTATAACTACCTCTACATTCTTTAGGTTATTATTTGCCTGTTACGTCTTTTACTTTAAACCTGTCTCTGTCTTCACGTTTTGGATGTCTCTTATAGATAGCTTATGATTGGATTTTTTTCATCTAGTCTTATTATAACCTTTGTCTTTTATCTGGAGCATTTAGTTGATTTACATTTGTTGTGACTACTGATATATTTGTAGTTTTTCGACCACCTTAGTTTGTGCTTTCAGTTTTTTCTGCTCCCCACCCTCTACCTCACTTGCCTTGCTTTGGGTTGATTGAATTTTATGTATATAATTCTCATTACATTTCCTCCCTCGTTAGTTTGGAAATTATACGGTCTGTTTTCATTTGTGTCATAGTTACTCTTGACATTTTAACATGCTTAGTTAATCAGCATATTTATTCTCTTCATAAATAATTCAAGGCCCCTCCCCCCCAACTTGTATGGTATTTTGTCCAGTGTTTTGGTTTCTTCTGTTTTTTAAAAAAATTCTATACATTATTATTATTATTATTTTATGCATTTAATACTTGTTTAAATTTACCCACATATTTACCAATTTAGCTGCTCATCAAACCTCAGACCTTCTATCTAAGATCATTATCCTGAAGTACATCCTTTATAATGATTTTTTTATAACTTTTTAGTTTATATTGGAGTATAGTTGATTAACAATGTTGTGTTTCAGGTGTACAGCAAAGTGATTCATTTATACATGTATCTATTCTTTTTCAAATTCTTTTCCCATTTAGGTTGTTACATAATATTGAGCAGAGTTCCCTGTGCTATACAGTAGGTCCTTGTTGGTTATCTATTTTAGATATAGCAGTGTGTACCTGTCAATCCTAAACTCCCCAACTATCCCTCCCTCAACCCTTCCCTCCTGGTAACCATAAGTTTGTTCTCTAAGTCTGTGAGTCTGTTTCTGTTTTGTAAATAAGTTCATTTATATCATTTTTTTAATAATGATAATGACTCTACTTTTGACAATTAATGTATTTTATTTATTTATTTATTTATTTAGGGCTGTGTTGGGTCTTCGTTTCTGTGCGAGGGCTTTATCTAGTTGCAGCAAGCGGGGGCCACTCTTCATTGGGATGTGTGGCCCTCTCACTACCACGGCCTCTCTTGTTGAGGAGCACAGGCTCCAGACGCGCAGGCTCAGTAGTTGCGGCTCACGGGCCTAGTTGCTCCGCGGCATGTGGGATCTTCCCAGACCAGGGCTCGAACCCGTGTCCCCTGCATTAGCAAGCAGATTCTCAACCACTGCGCCACCAGGGAAGCCCTCATTTTTTTTTTTTGCCTTTTTTTTTTTTTGGTACGCAGGCCTCTCACTGCTGTGGCCTCTCCCGTTGCGGAGCACAGGCTCCGGACGTGCAGGCTCAGCGGCCATGGCTCACGGGCCCAGGCGCTCCGTGGCATGTGGGATCATCCCGGACCGGGGCACGAACCCGTGTCCCCTGCATTGGCAGGCGGACCCCCAACCACTGCGCCACCAGGGAAGCCCTTTTTTGCCTTTTTTAATGAGGGTCAGTTAGAGATGCACTGTCTCATATTTTGTTTGTATGAAATTATCTTTCATTTTTGTTTATTAAAGTTAGTTTTGCTGAATATACATTTTGAAGTTAACAGTTATTCTCTCAGCATTCAAGATATTTTTCTATTACTTTCCCACTTCTGTTCTTATTGTTGAGAAGTTGGCTCTCTTTAAAAATATCATTCTTTTTGAGGCAACTTTTTTTTCTCTGAGACTTTTTTTGGTATTTTGCAGGGTATGGATGTTTGTGTTATGATTTGATGTGTGAACTGAAGCTGAGGAGTGATATCTTTCAGCATTTGTAAAACATTTTTATCTCCTCCCCATTTTCTTTCCCTTTCTTTTTGTCCTTTGTGGAACTCCAGGAAGATTTCTGTTAGACCTTGTTACTCTATCCTGCATATCTTAATTTCTCTTTCATATTTTCTGTCTTTGTCATTCTGGGCTGCATTGTGAATACCTTATATAGATGTATCTTCAAGTTTACCCATTCACTTTTTGAAAAAAAATTTATTTATTATTATCATTATTTTTTAAATGTATTTTTGGCTGCATTGGGCCTTAGTTGTGGCACGCGGGCTTCTCTCTAGTTGTGGCATGTGGGTTTTCTCTTCTCTAGTTGTGGTGCACAGGCTCCAGGGCGTGTGGGCTCTATAGTTGTAGTGCACCGGTTCCAGAGCCGTGGGCTCTGTGGTTTGCGGCACGCGGGCTCTAGTTGAGGCACGCGAGCTCAGTAGTTGTGGCATGCAGGCTTGGTTGCCCCACGGCATGTGGGATCTTAGTTCCCTGAGCGGGGATCAAACCCACGTCCCCTGCATTGCAAGGTGGATTGTTTACCACTGGACCACCAGGGAAGTCTCTACCCATTCACTTTTTAGCTGTGTCTGGTCTATTTAACCTAGCCATTAAATTTTTATTTCAGTTAATCTATTTTATAACTAGAAGTTGTATTTTCCTGTATATCTTGTTACTTTTATGCTTTTTTCCTCATATTCAAAATATGTTCTCTGAATATATTTTTATTATACATGTTAAACATACTTATTTTATATTCTGTGTCTTATAAGTTTAACAACTGAATTATTTGCTGCTGTTTCTACAGCTGTTTCTATAGGCTCTTGCTGTGGTACCTTGTTTCTTGGTATGGTCTGTGGATTTTGACTGTGAACTCATTTTCCTTGGAAAATTTTTTTGTTGTCGTTGTTGGAAATTATTTGAGGCCTATATTTAAAGTGTTTCCTCAAAAAAGGATTTGCATTTGCTTCTGCCCGGTGCTTGGGTGCAGAACTACCAAAATACTTAGGTATTGTTAGTTTAGCTGCAGACCCACATAAGAGCTAGACTGTGTTTGTGAAATCTCAGTCAATGCAGGTAACTTTGCAGTTCCAGTTTCATGTGGCCGACTCTTATTAGATTTCCCCACTGTGAGCAGGACCTGGGCTTTCCTTTTATTTTTTCCGTGTCCTGAAAGGCCAGCAGAATGGAAACTCAGGGTCACCTGGGTTGAGCGCGTGTCTCCAAGGCGAAGGCTAATTGTGTGGTTGCTTTAACCCTTCAGATTCCTGTTATCACTATGGTTTTGGCATCTAAGAATGTCTTACTCTGATGTCAGCTTGATGATGCATTTATAAATAATAGGTTTTCGAAGAAATATTTAGAATTTTTGTTGTGTTTAGTGGGAGAGTAGCTAGTCTGCTATAAAGCTGAAAATAGTTGTCTTTTATCTTTGTCTTAGCCGTAATACAGCATTTATTATCCACTCAAGATATCTCTGTTTGTTCTTATGAACATTGATCCTCTTCTTCCTTTCTTTCACTTACTGAGGGTCTTGAGTGAGTTGGCCATGAAGAGGCCTGGGCTTTGTGTTTGACCTTCCTCTCTGAAACCTTGTTTTCTTACCTATTAATGGTTAGACAATTGCTAAGATGCCTTCCAGCACTGGCCACGGTTCCATGAGTTTATCCATCTATTTGTATGCCTTGTCCTTTTATTGGAGGGGAGAACTAGGAGGGCAGGTGCAGACCAGAGGGAGTCAGGTCAGAGGAGGGAGTTTCCGACCTCTAGGGCAAGCACTGAGCTTGACACTCTCTCTCACCTGACCCAAACTTTTGCTGTCACCCAGGTGCCATCTGCCTCGTTCAAGAAACAGCCTGCCTTAGCTGTCATTTGTTGCCCATTTCCCAGAGTACTGAGGAGACCCAAGAGATCTCGCACCTGGAAAACGTGGAGAGTTTGGGAGGAGAGCTGAGCTCCATACAGAGGGAGACGCTGCTGAAGGAGGAAACAGTTACCTAGACCAAGATAGTCTGTGCCCTGCCCTTCATCAAGCTGTGTGAGTGCACACGTGTCACTGTGTGTGGCTCCCCTGCCTCCACCAGTCTCTGCTACTTTTGATGAGGCTCTTGAGTGTCAAATCAACCCTCCACTTCCCCTACTCAAAGTGATTCTATCTTGCGTGTGTTTGAAATTTGTTAAAAGTTTTCTGAATTCTTCTGAGCTTTCTGAGTGATTTTTTTGGACAAGCGTTTTCAATAAAACGATGACTACTGTCTGTTAATCCATGCCTCAAAAAACAAACAGGGGACTTCCCTGGTGGTCCAGTGGTTAAGACTCTGAGCTTCCAGTGCAGGGGGCACAGGTTCGATCCCTGGTTGGGGAACTAAGATCCCACATGCCACACAGCATGGCCAAAAAACAAACAAATGAACAAACAAAACACAACAAAACACCAGCCTGCAGCCTAGAGGGCAGGAAGGGAGGGAGGAATATTAGGAAATGATCAAGTGACGTGAGTTTTGTAAAATAAAAACTGAACAGAGTATGACCACCCCACTGTTCCAGCCATGCTGATCTCCCAGTTGTGGCTTTCCATACTCATTCTGCTGGTTTAGGGTGGTCTGGCCCACCGTTACATATTTGAGAGTTTGTAGATTTTCTCTATGCCTACTTCTATATTGTTCCTATAGGGTTTTGTGAGGTGGAAAGTGAAAAGACTGGAACTAGGCTGTCATCATCTCCCTATAAGAAAGAAACTCCCAAGATACCTTTTGGAGAGAAATGTAATAAAATACTAAAAACAATCTAACTAAAACACCTAGTGCCTGTTCTTCAGGTGTGTATGTCCAACATAGGTAAAATCGGAGTCCCTGAGGAAGAAAATGGAAATAAAGGAACAGAACAAGTATTTAAAACTAAAATTCAAGAAAACTTTACTGAAATAAAGTTCCTTTCTATTGAAAAGGAATCTATTGGAAGGAGTAACATCTGCTTAGGAAAACTGATATGAGATGATCAACCTCTTCCATGATGGGACAATGCTTTATTATTATTATTATTATTTACTGGAATAGACACTCTGGAACAAAGCATGGCCCCATTGTGGAAGGCCTAGAGCCTCTTCCTTCATGCACAAATACTGGCATACTATGCAAAATTACTAGACATGAAGAAATGTGACCGACAAGAGAATAAACAACCAATAGAAGCAGATGACAGAATGATCCAAATATTGGATTTCGCAGATACACACTTTAAAATAACTATTATTAAGCTATTATTAATGTGTTAAAGAAATTGTAAAAAAGTGCAAAAATTTCAAAAAATGGAGAACACTCTACCGAAATGCCATTTCTCCCCGTGAGATTTGCAAGAATCAAAAGTTTGATGCAACATGTTGTGTTGGCTAACCTGTGGGGAAATAGGCACCATCATACATGGCAGATGGAAGTGCAAAATGAACAAACAAAACAGCCCTCCTGAGGGGAATCTGGCAATACCTACAAAACTGCAGAAACAGTAATGCTTTAACCCAAACCAAAGTCTCAATTTAAGGATTTATCCAACAGGTATACCTGCACACATCTTTAAGAATGACATAGGTGCAGGGTGATTGATTGCTGCAGCTTTTGCTGTAACAAATGATTAGGAGCAACTCAAATGCTCATCAACAGGGGACACTTTAAATAAATTATGTTACATCCACACCAGCTTAAATAAAAAAAGAATGAGAAAGGTCTCTAAGTACTGATATGGAATATTTTCTAGGACATATTACATGATAAAAAGCAAGGTATCTAGTATATTTCCTTTCGTGTAAGAAAAGGGGAGAAGGTAGGGAAATATGTGAATATTAGTATTTGCAAATAAATAAACACTTGAAGACCGTATAATAAATGAATGAATCTTTAGAGATGGGGGTAGATTAAGAAATGGGATGGAGGCTTCCCTGGTGGCACAGTGGTTGAGAATCCTCCTGCCAATGCAGGGGACACGGGTTCGAGCCCTGGTCCAGGAAGATCCACATGCCGTAGAGCAACTAAGCCCGTGTGCCGCAACTACTGAGCCAGCGCTCTAGAGCCTGCGAACCACAACTACTGAGCCCACGTGCTGCAACTACTGAAGCCCGTGCGCCTAGAGCCCGTGCTCTGCAACAAGAGAAGCCACTGTGGGCTTCCCTGGTGGCGCAGTGGTTGAGAGTCCGCCTGCTGATGCAGGGGACACAGGTTCGTGCCCCGGTCCGGGAAGATCCCACATACCGCGGAGCGACTGGGCCTGTGAGCCATGGCCGCTGAGCCTGCGCGTCCGGAGCCTGTGATCCGCAATGGGAGAGGCCACAACAATGAGAGGCCCGCGTACCGCAAAAAAAATTAAAAAAGAAAGAAAAAAAGAGAAGTCACTGCAATGAGAAGCCCGCGCACCGCAACGAAGAGTAGCCCCCGCTCGCCGCAATTAGAGAAAGCCCGTGTACAGCAAGGAAGACCCAAAACAGCCAAAAATAAATAAATAAATTTATATTTAAAAAAATGGGGTGGGTGGAGTGGGCAGAGGGAGGAGTAATAGTTCTGTGTGTAACTTCTTATATGAGTTTGGCTCTTGAATCACGTACATGTATTACCTATTCAAAAATTCATATTAAATCTTAAAGGGTAAGTTGGGTAATATAAGTCAAATATCCAACACTGTCCATACCAGCACTCTGAACTCCTATAACCTTCATTTCTATCGTTAATGCTAAAACAACGTTCACATCTGCCATTTCACTCTGTCCTGCTAAAGACAGGCCAGCTATGATTCTACCCATTTTCTTATTAAAGAACCAGAGAGGTGAAGCCCTCTGATGTTCAGTACAGGTTTTTAAAATTTTAAAGTAAACTCTGCTGCCTCTTAACCTGTTTGCTCTTTATGGTCATGACAACAACTCCCGGCTTTCTGTATTTCACCATGTAACCTCATCTCTTCTGTCTCTTGTCAGATAATTTTATTCCTCTCTCCCTCTGCATCTGTCCCTTTCTCCTTCCATTCCTCCCTTTTTCCCTTCTTCTTTCTTGCCCCGCCCCCATGCTCTCAATTAATTCAGTACCATTTTCTTTGCCAAAAAAAAAAAAAAAAAAAAAAAAGCCTTCATTTGCTCATCTTCCTGAAATCTGCCTTCTTTCTGACAATGCCATTTCCCTAGCAATCCTTAGTTCTAGTCTGGTCTCTCAGGGCCAGGAGCATGAGGTCAGAATTTATCTGGTTTCTTTTGCAGTTTTCAGGGTAACATTCTTAATTTTTCTCCAACAATCTCTTCTTTAAACTGTGGGAAATTACGGTCAGTGATATAGAAAATCTCTTCCAGATGCAAAAGCACAACATAAAACTGCAGTAATTAAAACAGTTTAGCAGGTCCTGACACAGGATACAGATAGATTACAGAACAGAATAAGAGTACTAATATAAAGCCTACTTTATAGAGGAATATAATATTTGATAAAATTAGCCTTTTAAATCAGGAAGGATTATTATTATTATTATTTTTGCGGTACGCGGGCCTCTCACTGTTGTGGCCTCTCCTGTTGCGGAGCACAGGCTCCGGACGCACAGGCTCAGTGGCCATGGCTCACGGGCCTAGCCGCTCCGTGGCATGTGGGATCTTCCTGGACCGGGGCACGAACCCGTGTCCCCTGCATCGGCAGGCGGACTCTCAACCACTGCGCCACCAGGGAAGCCCAGGAAGGGTTATTGATCCTTCAATAAATGGTTGAGGAAAACTTGCTAGCCATTTGGAAAAAAAAAAAAAAGGCTGGCTGGATTTTCTTTTTTCTTTTTTTCCTTTGATCAGAATGCATTTCCAACAGAGCTCAGATTTAACCTAACAATAAATGTCTTAGAAGTGCGTACAGGGGATTTAAAAAATCATCTTGGAGGATGGAAGGCACAAAATGGAGAAGATTTAAAGAAAAAGGAAGGATTAATTTGAATATGTAAAACGTATAATATTTTGCAGTGCACAGAGTTCCATTAAGAAAGACAAAAGGCAAATAGGAAAATATTTGCAAAACATTTGAAAAAGGGCCATTTTCCTTAATTTTCAAAAAACTCATATATCAGTAAGAAAGAGATAAACAAACCCAACAGAAACAGAGGAAAGGGTAAAAACAGCCAGTTTGCAGAAAAGGAAATACAAGTAGCTAATGAAGGTAGGAAAAACGACTTCACTTATAATTAAGAAGTCAAAACAAAAATGTGGGCATCACTGATTTCACTCATCAGATTGGCAAAGATGAAAAAGTTTGATGACATCCAGCGTTCATGAGATTGTGGGAGAATGAACGCTATCCCCCACTGTTTGTGAGAGTGGAAATTGGTGCAGACTCTTTGCAGGATAATTTGGCAGTAGCTGACAAAATTTAAAATGCATGTGACTTTTAGATCCCGTAATTCCATTTATGGGAACTCATCCTTTAGATTTATTTGCCAAAAAGTGCACAAGGAATTCTGTATGACGATGTTCATCCAGGTTTCTGGTAAATCCGAATGCTGGAAACCGCCTAAATGTCCACTGATAAGCTTTATAAATCATGGGGAACACAGAACATACAGTGGAATACTGTAGAGCTGGTAAAGAGTGGGGTAGATCAGTATGTGTAGATGTGGAAAGATATGTTGTTTACTGAATAAAAGCAAAGAGCAGAACAGAATATAGTATGATTCTGTTTATGGAAAACAAACAGGGTAATGCGTTTTATGCTTAGTTTGCCTATAACATTTCCGAAAAAATTCCTGAAACCTGCTTCATGGCCTCATCCTAACCTCTGATTCCTCAGGTCTCCATGTTTTTCTTGTTGGTTTCGGTCCCTCCCCCACTCAGCTTGGACACCATGGTCACTCAGTACAGCCTTCTCCCACTAGAGCCCTCATTCCCCCCACGCCCTTGGCATTCTTTCATAATCATCCTTATGACCAATCCTAATATTGGATTAATCCAGCTGTTTTCTTAGCCCCCAGACTGCATAGACAATTGTGTGGATTGATTCTGTCACTTATTTTGTTTTGTTTTCAATATCAGTCGTTCAGTGTTGCTTGACAATCTTTTCATTCATTCTATGATTTTTTTCCTACTACATCATTCCTCACAACAGATATTCTAATCTTCACTCCATTATTTAGGCTCCAACCTACCATTGTCCCCTGCACTCTCAGCAGGTAACATCACTGAGAAAAGAGGTTAAGAATGAGCTCCTTAAACACTTCTCTAGAATAATTTTAAAATAATCTATTTCAGGGGTAAGCAAACTA